GCAGGAGCAATTTACCATTGCCAATATGAAATGATGCCATTGTCACTAAAGTGATCATCCATCTCTGGCATCTTCCTATATCACTGCTGGCTATTTATTTTAGCTGGGCAGCTAGGATGAACTTTACACCTTGGATAACTCTGCTCGGGTATGTATTCTTGACTTACACTCACAATGTTCTTCAGTCATCCTCCCAGGAACATTCCCACCAAAAGAAGGCAGCATAGCAAGATTTGGGGGGGAAGAGCATTCCTCTTTTACTTTCACATTCTAGGAAGGCTGTTACAGTTCTGAACTAATATCTCAATATTGGAACAAATGGGAAAGCAACGTCTTGGTCATAAAAAGTGCTTTCAACCAGTTAGGCTTACAAGTAGTCCTTGGGTTACCACCATTCATTCAGCAACGGTTCAAAGTTATGAGCAAGCTGAAAGAATGGTACTTATAAACGGTCCTCAGAGTTCTGGCAGTCACAGTGTCCCTACAGTCACGTGATCATGATTATGTCACAGCAAGCTACAGTCACACAATCACGATTTCCAACATACCCTGCCAGCTTCCACAAGCAAAGTCAATGGGGAAGCCAGCAGGAAGTCAGAATCACAATCATGTGAGGTCCTTGTTTAATGACCTATGCAGTCCTCAGATTACAACGGCAACATGGTCAAAACTGCATCACTTAGTGATGAAAATTCTGGTTCCAATTGCTGTCATAACCTGAGGACTACCTGTACATCTGGAATAGGCAGATCTGACCTGAGTTACTTACATATTACTGTAGTTTCCTTCATGCTGACCTGCTATATTAATTACATGTAGAGCTGCCTTAGAAGACATTTGGGATATTTCTAAATTCCTTGGATTAATAAATTAAAAAAATATGGAGGTTCTACTCGTATCTGTTCATTGTCATGTAATGCTAAGTCACAATTTAAGCTTGCAGGCAAGGAAAGTGTCTCCATATTCCACTCTGCTATCTATCATGACCAGGAAGAATAAATCAGATTTAATTTCAGTTTAACAAATTCCTGATGTACATGAGCAAGTGAAAGATTCTTTTTTTAAAATCCTCTAAACCGTTGGCTTTTTCTATTTTCTAAAAACTGATTAAATTTTATTCTGAAGCAAAATATTTAAGGCATTCTGGTACAGAACCTTGCTGCAGTTCTAGCAGCAAGATGTGGATATATTCTACCACAAGCTGAACTGGTTATCAGTGTTTTTTCCAGACTCAGTTCAGCAAGCTGATTTAAAGCACTGCATACTCTGAGGTTCTATCTAACCTAAGTACTAGCTTAACTTTTGGTGCCACTAACCAGTTATTCTAGGCAGAAAATTCTGCCTTTAGACAGTCTTCTTTATGGCCAATGCTATGAAAACTTCTACTTAAAAATATCAGGAGAACCAGCTTTTTACTGAGCTTTCAGAGAGACTAAAAGCATGGTTTGGCTGGATTTGTGATCAGTAATAATGTATGATATGGAGCCAGTCTTTGTAATGTGATTCACATAAGGAATAATTTATTTCTATTTATTTATTTCTGTGATTTGTTTTGCTCAGTTCCATAAAAGGCTCTCAGCAGGGTATAAAAATATAAAAGTAAGATAGAGACATTAAAAGAAAAAAATAACTGAAATCCCAAACTTCCAAACAATAATCTCTTACTGCAGGGACAGGACTAGTCCAGGATGCAACCGTCCAGGTAATAATAGGTAAAGCTCAGTTCACCCATTTTACACTCTACTGCAGGAGTTGTACTGGTTACCAATATGCTTCTGGGTGCAATTCAAAGTGCAAGTTATTACCTTTAAAGCTTTTTATGGCTTAGGACCTGGGTATCTAAGAGGGAAACTATTCTGAAATAGTTTCCCTCTTAGATAGCCATGAAATCTGCCCATCCAGTGAGATCCAGGAGGAAGGTCTTGTAAAGGGCCATACTCTGACAGAGTACCAACATCAGGAATCCCTTCTTGGTGGCAGCCCCCCTCCTTTTGAATAGCATAATTCTACAGATAAGGTTAGGCCCATCACTATTAGGCTACTGAAAAGCTGTTGCCTCTGAATTCTAGGAGGTGTCTTCCTACAGACAAGGGATATGCTTATCATAAAGAAATTGTTAGCGGGTCACCGGGAAGGATGTTACTAAATACTTCATGACCCACAGACTACATGAAATGATAGTCCAGATAGGTTTATATCAATCAATTTCTTCAAAGCATTCTTGTACAGTAGCTACAAAATAATACTAACTAACCTGAATTTAGAAACATGTAAGACAAAGAACCTTGTCAGCTTGCAGCTGAGCTGTTAGTTGAGAAACCAGTAGGAGCTAGCACAACAGATGGGGCTATAAAATTCATTCTCCAAAATCTTCCCCTCGTGCTTCTCTTCAAGCAACCTGCCAGGTTTGGCTATCACCCTTTCCCATTTCAGCAGGGCTAATTTACAGGAGCCTCTTCCTTTGATAAAAGGGAAGCTTCCTTGCATCTGGCTGGTCGGGTTTTCCCAGCTTCCAGTGAAACAGGATCCTGAGAAGGAGGCTTCCAGAAAACAGGGCCTGGGGCAGGAATGGTCCTTAATTTCTGCTAAGGCAGTATTTGGTAACTTGGCTTGGTGACCAGGAGGCAGCAGCTGATTAGTTCAACATGCTGCTAATTTAAAATGGGGAGGCAATACCAGCAAAGGTAAGAAGTGCTGCCAGCAAAGTTAAGGAACAGAGGCTATGGATGGAGGCAGGAAGGGTGAGATGGAGAAAATAAAATTGTTAACTGATGCCTGCCATTAGCAGAAAATCAATTATTTCCCCTCCATTGTTCAAAGGCAAATTAATCTTCTTCCCCCCCCCCCCAAAAAAAAGCATTCAGAACTGCTCTATTTTATTATTGGAAGAATAAAAGGCAACCTTAAGAAAAGAGGGTTTTTAAGACAAACAACAGAATTTGAAGCAGTTACACAGAACCAGGACCACCTATTAGGACAAATATTTATATTAGGGCATATATAAAATGCTATTAAAATATGACATGGAGACAGAACAAGTAAAAGACTGTATGATAAAGTGGATGCAATTTTTTTAAAGAAATAATAACAGTACAGCAATGGGAGGACTTATGGAGAAATTCAATAAAATTTATCCCAAGCTATAATTTAAGAGAAAACTGGTATAAAATGCTTTACAGATGGTATATAACTCTGTACGTAATTGCAAAAAGAGATAAATCATGTAATAATAAATGTTGGGAATAAATGTTCCATCTATATCATAACATTTTAACATATGTGGTGATCATGTAAAAAAATTCAAAAGGACTGGAAAGAAATATACAACATTATTCAAAAAATCTTAAAATCAAAGCTTGAATTGAAACCTCAATCTTTTCTACTAGGAATTTTCCAGAACAAATACATTTAAAAAATATCACAAACTATTAAAATGTATGCTGATGGCCACAAAGACAAATTTGGCCAATGCTGCAAAAGAGACAACTTTGCCGACAATATCAGATTGGGAAACAAACTTTACAAATACACAGCAATGGCAAAATTTATACTATACATCCAGAAGAAAAGTTTGACTAAATTTAAGCAAGAATGGCTTTCCTATATATTACATGTCACACAACAAGGCAAACCTAGGTACTTAAGAGTATGGTTTTTAACTGGCAAATATTTGATATAAAGATAGTACCCAGAAGCAATTTTAATGTTTATAAATAATGTGATGTAATCACCAGTCAGGTACAATGGGAGGGAATTTAGAATTTAATATTGTTTTTACTAATTGTTTTTAGTATTTTTTTTTGTTTTCATAAAACCATGTATATTTATTTTAGATAATAACAAATAATGATATCAATACAAATATTAGCTTGTAGAGTTCTGCAGCAATTTACAATTGTTTCTCAAGATGATATATAAAGAATTTAGTTTTATATATTTGATTAATTAATCAATGAAATAATGAATATGAAATTTTAGGATAACTGTAAATTCTGTCCATTTACTGTTATTTTATTTTCCATCCACTATAACTTTTCGCAATTTTCTTTTTTCTTTTGTGTAGTCATTTATTTTATTGTTGAAATGTTTTAAAATACAAATATTTTAAAAAAAAAGACTCCATTTTTGCTGGCAGCAGGAGTGAAAGTTATTTTATGCAGAACAAGGGTGAGTGTATTATGTGTGCAAAGGTTTTGGTTTGTTGATTTGTGTAGATCAGTGTGCATGTATACATACGGATTTATCTGAAGGGAAATTGTATGTTACGAGTTGTCAAGGCCCATGTATCTGGCAACCTCAAGAAGCTAGAACCACATAGATTTCAGAAAGGCATATTTAATGCTAGTCTGGGTAAAACTATGATTCTGAAAACTGAAGAAGTAGTAAACCAATTAGGGCAGAGTCTCTGAAATATTTCCTTCCCCCAGCTCCCACTTCTGGGCTGTGCTATCTCTTGTCACACACATTGAACTCCTCCTCCCCTGTCTGCTTCTCACAATCTCTCACATGAGTCTGTCTGAGGCGAGGCTATGTGTACATTGATGTGTTTTTATGTGTTAGGAGTGTTGGGTTGGTAGTAGATTGTGTACACATGTGTGTGTGTGCACATACATGTACATGCTGACAGATGCACTCCCAAAGCCTAAACTAGCCCTTAATGTGTTCTCAGACATGCAAAGCTGCCTACCCCTGGCCTCAGCTGTTGCTCTGCTTACTTATCTAGGCTTTTCTTTTTCCTATTCATCTCCTTCCCTATCCTTTTAAAGCTACCATCCTATACATTCGTACCTGGGAATAAGTCTGATTGAACTCACTGTGATTTACATCAAAGTAAACATGTACAGGAGTGTCCTGTAAAAACATATTTAACTTCTATATTCTGAATAGTCAAACTATACACCTGATGCATGCAATTCTTTTGAAATGCTTTGATTTCTATATTAATCATATACAGTATGTGACCTATAAGAATTATGACTGTGAACCTTAAATGACCATACCTGCCTTGTTCTTCATTCAGTCTCTCCCTTTTGTCATTAAGAACTTTATCTTGTAAAAGGCATCCATTCATTGTATTCTGCAATAATTTCTGAAGTTGATAAAGGACAAGTGCTTCACATGCCTCAAAGTTTTCTTGTGACAAATTGCCAGCTTTATTACAGAGGCTATAAACAAAAACAGGTACTTAAAAGCAGGTAGTTAATTATGTTCTATTTTTATCAATGAAATTTAAAATACTGTTAATATATTGATCAAATATAAACAGATCAAAGTTTATATATACACCAACTTTTTCAATTGTAGCATCCTGACAATCAAAAAAAGTTATTTTTTTGATTCCACATCTGAGAATTTACATTTTACCCAGCTGAAATCATAAAGATAGCCATGATACGCAGTTGGGTAAAATGAAGCTTCCTTTGGAGAAGAATTTGATAGACCATTTAGGAAGTCCTTTTTCACAGTCAGCATTTCTACTCCAAGATTTGAGCAAACCTGCCTCAAGGTAAAACCAGTAACGCTAGGATATGAGCTTGCAATGTCAACATTGTCAAGTGTGAAGTATATACAAAATTATTTCAACAATCCCTAGGGGGAATCAGAAAAAAGAGTCCTGGACTGCGGGGGGGGGGGGGGGGGGG